ACCCTTCTCTCGTATCTGGGTCTCCACATTCTTAGCAGCCCAGATGGCGGCTTTCAAAGTGGTAGTTTGCTTGACCATTGGACCGAAGTCCGCTGGTAATCCGAGGGCAAATTTGTTAACCTTAGAGAGTTCAGTTGGGACGAGGTGAGGAACAAGCTTCATTTTCTCAGTAAAGCTTGCAGCGTATTCAGTAACGCTCATTCTTCCCTTCTTCAGATTCTGGAACTCGTTGTTGATCTCCAGAAGATCCTGCTCAGAGCAGTATTGCATCTTCAACTGTACCAAAAAATCCTCCCACGACATCTTGCTTGCTTCACCTTTGGGCATCGAATCAGCTAATAGCTTCCACCAGCTTAGTACTCCAGATTTCAACAGAGGAACTGCGAGATCGGTCTTCTACCTGTTGCTACACTTGCAACTCTCAAACATTATCTCCATTTCAGAGATCCAGTTCATGACTTCCACGGGCATCGAGCTTCTAGATAGACTCGGTGGCTTGGATGCCATGAAATCCTTGTATTTGCATCCATGTCCATCATTTCCTCCATCTTGGTGGTTTTGCCTAACTATCGGTGGGTTGGCTTGACCAACAGTCCCACTGTAGTTTCCTTCCTCAGTCTGCCCTTCATTCAACTCGGGCTGTTCGATCTGTATAGTCGCTTCCTCTCGATTTTGCTGGAGCAAAGGCCTGGTTTCCTCCATTTGACGATCCAACATTGCCTGGATCATCGCTTACACTCCGGTCATCGTTATTGGCCCAACAGTGGCTTCTACAACTGGTATTTGCTCGATCACTGGGGGTTGGTTTATGTTCCCATTTGCATTCACGTTTCCGCTACGCGTCCTTGCCATCTTGATCTATACACCGAATAAGGTGAATTTAGATCTTTATTTACGACTGATGTTCAAATCATCCTTATCTCTCCGAAATGTTTACATGCAAGTTCTAATATCGTAGTCGTACGTTTAGAATCCTAAACACATAAGGTTTCCAGATCCGGTCGGCAACAGACCATAGATCCGAACAAATAACAGCATATCATGCACAGAGCATTTAGCACATAAAAGCATTTTAGCCACAATTCCTAAAATAAGCTAGTGCTCACACCTCACGATCATCGCTTAGCATTCTAAGTTTAAGTCTAGAATTCCTACAAATTCCTAGTTCGCTTAAACTAATTCTTTGATACCAACTGTGACATCCCCAAAATCACGGCCAGAAAAGACCGGTTTTGTTTAGACTTTATTTCACAATGAGAGTTATCTTTTAATAAAAGGGTTGTGGAATTTGTCCCAAAACAATAATATGATAAAGATTTATCAAAAGCATTTCCTTATAAATGTATTTCATTAAAAGACTTGGGATGTCATGTTCGATACAGTACATAAGTATAAACAATACAATATAAGCCTTACTACATTATTTCATATCTACAGGCCTATATCCGTAATCCCTCGTCCCAAACATCATATCTATGCTAATGCGCCACTACCTCTAATACAAGAAACTGAGTGGGTCAGGTTTGGGAGCCTGGTGAGCACATAGGGTTTTCAACCCACAATAAATAAGTTTATTAATTTCATGAATCAACAATAACCCGATTACCCGTTCCCATTATCGTCACTTTACGTCCCTAAACACCTATCATAAGGGACCTAGCCTAAGGATCATCATCGGGATGGACACCACTGCTAAGGGGGTTCCTTAGCAATAAATGCCCTAAAGGCAACCATGAGGGGGATGAAGTACACCGGTGACCACATCGTTCACAAACACCTACAGGTTGCGAGCCTGCTAGTGTTCCACTGGACTGTCTAGAAGAGTCCATGGTCGTCATCTGTACTCCGCTAGATGACTGGATCAACAACAACATTGAGGCCTCTCATCATTTTATCACACATCACCTATTACATCTACCCATGTTTTTACCCCAACATTTTCGTAGATATAAAATACATATACAGTTTAAATCATTGAAAACATGTATAAAAACGTTCATCCAGCATAGATAGCAAGTATTCAGATAATATTCACACACATAGCACGTAATTTATATAAAATACTTCATATCTATGTGTAAGTTGAAAGTAACTATGCACTCACCTGAAAAGGTGGTGATTCCGAACTCAGACAACGCTTCGCTTCTTAAAAATAATTTCTTTCGACGAAACCTAGTATTATTACCACTAGAGTTTAGTCTATTATTCGTCGAAAATAATTAATAGTCTAGCTATTATTACTATTATATAAGCGTTACAAAAATACTATATAACCCATAGTAATAGCCCAAGTATGTATTATAAGTTCCTAATAACGTTACTATAATTATATAAAAGCTATATTAAAAATAGCGTAGGTGTAGCTCACTTACAGCGGGTTTTATAGAAACAAGGCTTTCCTTGGAGCAGCGTTCTCGAGCCAAAAAGCTCTTCTTCTCGGAGCCGTCGAGCACTCCGGGGTTTCCACTTCGTGCTAGGGAGGCTCCCTAGGCTTTTCGGGGGGTTTCGGGGCTAGAGAGAGGTTCTAGAGAGAGAGAGAGTAAAGAGAAGAAAGAATGGGAAAGGTGTGAAGAAAATGAGGGTGAGAGAGGTGGTATTTATAGGGTAAAATGTGGTTGAACTTGGTGCCACATGTCACCATTTGGTGGCAAGCCTTGGGGAGAAAGCAATGGTCAAGATTGGGCCACATCACCCATTTTCGCACAGCACATTTCTGACTTATAAAATCCGTAACTTTCACATACGACCTCCGTTTTTGACGTTCTTTATATCCACACTTAGGTAATAATAAGATCTACAACTTTCATTTTGACTCCGTTGGCTAATTCTCGACCGATCTTAAATTTAGCAGTACAAGGAGATTATACTGTTAAACGTCCGCGTAAAATTCATAACTTCTACATACGGACTCTGTTTTCATCTGTCTTTTTACCGTTGATTTCCTATTAATGAGATCTTTAACTCTCATTTAGGTTGCGTAAGCCAAAAACCGCTCGAACTAAAATTCGAGTTTCGGGCCATGCACTGCTAAGCCGAATCTTAGAAAAATCATAACTTCCTCATACGAAGTCAGATTTGGGCGTTTTTTTATGGATGTTCTCGGTTTCACATATACTACAACTTTGGTTTAGATCACTAAGGCTAAAAATCCCTTCATCGTAAATTCACTATTTACGTCTCCCGGTGCCGTGCCGGTTTTGCCGTAAAACTTCGGCGAGCTATAACTTCTTCGTTATAACTCGGATTTTGGCATTCTCTATATCTCCGAAATCCTTGTTTTGACCACTACAACTTTATATAAAGGTATCAGGCTTATCCCATACTTTAATTTTGACGTTTATTTTTATTCTTTATTAATTATACATTTATAATTAAATAATAAGCACATAAATACACATAATTTACATAATACTCAAATATTTCATCTTTATAACTTCAAAAAGAGTTACAGGAGTTGACCTAGATTATTACATTGACAAATGTGCTTAACCCTGAAACCCGGGCGTTACATCAAACGTTGGTAAAGTCAGAAGCAACGATGAAACAAACCTACAATTTCTAAATGGCTTGGGTAGAACAGTGGACTACAACAAAGATGATCGTCTAAGGATATAACAAGATCAAAACGCTCTCTCTGTACAAACTCTACGGTGAGCTCCAAGCACAAGAGTTTACAGTGATGAAAGACTATGTGGATCTTGGTGGACCACTAGCACTTGTTACTTAGACACCTCAATTTCCCAAAAGATCTCAGTATCCTCATACTAAAGAGTAGGGACTCCTCATATCAAACTCCATATGACAACTTTTCTCAGTCATACGAAGCACAAATAGATCTAGAAGATGAAGAAGCTTTTCAAAATGCCTTAGCTCTTGTCAGTTACCAGTTCAACCGACTTCTACCGCCCAACTTTCATAAAAACCAACAGTTCACTAAACCACCTTTCAATAGAAACTACACGACTTTCAAAACAATCCATATCACCATCCAAATCAAAGATATCACAAAAATCCACTTTATCAATCTCACTCTCAAAACACATATATGATGATCACAACTCCAATGAAACACAACATGAAGACAAATCCTCAGATATCAACGTCCAGGAAGAGAAAAAGCATGGAGTTCTCATTTGTCATAAGTGTCATAAAGAGAATCACTTTGCAAGGGACTGTAAAGCCAATGTGGTCAAGGACAAAACATTCTACCTTAAAATGGCTTAAGAGGTGGAAGATAAAGAAAAAGGAAAAGCGTTTGTAACTTAAGTTTGATGAGACCACCAAGTTTGGTCTTTAGGAGATGAAGATGATGAACCTGACAACAAGAAAAGAAGAGGAAATATATGTCTTGTTGCAACCGAGGAATATGGCTCAACCAATCTGAAAATGAACTACTCTTACATGGCCAAAGAAGGAACTTTGAGCATCGTGGAATAGGTAAAAATTATGATTCAATTAAATAATTATAACATGCTTGAATGTGAACCTCATTTAGACAGATTGACTCAAACATGTGCTGACGTCCTTACAGATTATAACAAAGTCTTAGATGAAAAGAACGTAGCGACTCAAGAACTGTATCACTTGAGAAAAAGACTAGAGGACAAAAAACTTAAGGTCACTAAGCTAAAAATGAATTTGTTATTAGAAAAAGATGCTAGACTACTTTGTGAAACTCAACTAGATATAGCTTTCAATCAATGGGATTTCGCCCGCAATGAAATTATATGTTTGAATCTTTTAATAGAGAAACTGTTTAATGAAAACGAGGCTATGGAGAACCTAGTGAACAATTGATCTGTTGATAACTCTTATTAATGGGGATGGTCTAATGGTTATCCTACCGGAGAGAAATCTCCACCATGGTTTGATGCTGATCATCCTTATGTCCCACCTGACCCGACCTTTCCTGAGGACTTAAGGTGTCGTTTTGGAAAACTTCATGTCCTTAACAATAACTGTGTAATAGAGGAAATTCTCCCATAGGAAACCTCTAAAAATTACCAGTCGCTACCCATCACTGGAACAATCCATGCAGGATCTAGTTCCGAGGTAGATGAGGAAATCATTGTGGAAGGACCTAATGCACCATCAAAGTCCATCGAGGACTTAGCCATCTCATGCTGTGCGGCGCCCCAATTCTTGTCCAAAATAGAAGTCTTACCGAAGACCTTGTTAAAACTACATCCAAAATTCAACCTCTTCCTCAAGGGGTTAAAAACGGACAAATTTGAAATTGGCCAATGCTCTCGATGTCATGAACGTATAGTTCTAATGACTAATCTCCCAGACCTATACTGAAGAATCAACTTTTCAAAGCAAGAATTTCAAGGAAAAAGGGTTTATCGAAATCCATAGAAGAAAAATCTTTTCAAAATCATTTGCGGTAGTCAAATCATTTCAAAATCACTTTGCGGTGATGCCATCATTCCATACCAGCCAGGTGATGCCATTCCGGTTGCTAAACTAATCAATCGGTATCTGGTATCTAGGTTTTCCTTCAGATTTATCAAATCAACCTCTTGATATATTTATTATGTCCATTTATTGAATTCTTGAATGCTCTTTTCCTCTTAAAAACATTGTAAAAATTCAAATGTAAATATGTTATACCTCATGATTTTTTTTTGGTCATAGAATCTTGGATCCCTTTGCAAATTGCAATCATCCTTTTAAAGGTCGAAATAAAAAACTATTCAAATTGGTCTTAACAAGAAAATAATATATTTTTTTTGTAACAATATACCCAAATATTTCCATCTTTGTCATTATAGATTCTTTTATAGAGATTAAAACTTCACTTAAATTTAGTAAGATTCGTTAGCCGAATTTGAATTCGCTTAAATTCTTTCAAAGAGATTCAAACTTCACTTCAAATAATATGTTTTTTGTAACAACAATAATACCCAAATACTACCATCTTTGTCATCATGTACAAACTTCCTATCCTATCTATGTTTTTCCTCATCATACAGGAAATCAATCTCCCCTGTTGACTGAAGATTTTGCTGTGAAATCGCATGCATTTGAGGGACATCATTCAAAACCAAATACCCACTTTGCCACACGTGATTAACAACAGATCCACCTGAAAACGGACCCACATCAGCAAAAATAATAATCTCATTAATCGATGACTCAGCAGATAAACCTGAAACTTGAAAGCTAAGATTTCCTGGCACCATTGAAGGACTGTAATTATTTATCAAAGTTGTATAAACTGTCATACTTCCATTACTATTATGAAAAGCCACAAGTGCTTCTGATCCAACCATGCCTATTTGGTTCGGGTTAACCGCCCATGCAACCCACCCACGTGGGCCTTGGCGGGCCTGGTATGCGATCTGGGCTATGCCCGTTGATGAATTGTAGGTCCAATGAAGTTGTGCAGATAGATGGGGTAGATCCCTACAAGAACTATAGATTCTTCTTGATGTGAATTTGTATTCTGAACACATTTGAGCATATGATATATCAAAATGGGATACAAGAAAATGAAAATATATAAGTAGGGCAGAGCTTATAGTTATGGCCATTGATGGAGTTAAAAACTTAGGTTATTGATCTTTGTTTATGTTTAATAACAATTCAAAGTAAGTGTATGTAGGATTGTCATGAAACATTTGTTTACTCATAGGAGGTGTATCATGTGTGATGAACCAACTACTTGATGAGATCAAATCAGTAAATGTGTGAAAAATCATGACTTTAATTATCACAAAAAAATAGGTTTTGCGTTGAGATACTCTTGTAATTATGTCATAGCTAGATTTAATAGTTTGAGAATTGTTTTCTTTTGGGGTATAAGTGGTTGTTCAGAGAGAGAGAGGGAGGAAGCTACCTTTTTCCTTGAAGGTATTTACTATTTATTGATGCTTGGTAATAAACATAATTTCATGCTTGTAATTAAATAAAAAATTTTAATAACTCTTTTTCTAAATATGGTGTAATACAAAAACTGGGATTAGCACCAGCCCTCTTATATGTCATATGTGTGCTAGTTTTTAGCTTTTATTATCATACATTTAGCTTTATAACTATAAGTTGACAAAGCCTACCAATATTAAAAATCGTAGCTCTTTTCCTTGTAGCTTCAAATTAAACATAAGATCACATTTGGTTATGAAATATTCTTACGCATGGGTGGTCTTTTGATTTTTGTAGCAAAGATCAAGGTTGTTGTGTTGAAACTAACATGAGTCACCATAATTGGATAAATGATATATGATAAAAATGTAGAAACGATGTATGATTGTAAATGCAGAAACGAACTTAAAGGAACTAAGCTAATATTAAAAATAAAATATTATTTTATAATAAACTTTGTTAGTAACTATATTTAAATTCCAATTGAAACTTTCTAGTAACTAACATACATGAGTCATAATAATTGGACAAACGATATATGATATAAATGCACACATGATATATGATTGTAAAGGCACACTCGAACGTAAAGAAACAAAGATAATATTAACAATAAAATATTATTTTATAACAAACTTTGTTAATATCTATACATTTAAAGGAAATCTATAGAAAAGTTTCAATATTTGGATCAATTTATGAAAGTATTGAATTAATTATTTTTTTTTACAAAAAAGTCGATCCTAAAAGCCGGTAAAATGTAGCTTTTCTGATCATTTTTCCCTGTTTAGTTGGTAACAAATTAATTGAGACTATTTCGTAAACTGATAAAAAATATTGAGATTTTTTTTGCAAAAACCAAAATGATGGGATTATTTCGTAAATTGACCCAAAATATATATAAAAAACATTTTTATATATTTTACACATTAAGAAACGTTTTCATATACATATATATATATATATATATATATATATATATACACACACACACACACACATACACACACATACACTAGGTTATAACCCATGTGATACGCGATTAATAAATTAATATAATATAAATAATAATTATAACAAAAAGATTTTGACAAATTCATATCCAAGCCTGCTTCTAGCTTCCAAGCTTCACTACCACCTTCTTCTTCCTTTGAACATAGAAAAACACTCTCAAGCTTCAAAATGAAACATTGGGTCTAGGGTTTGCATGGGACAAATGAATTAATGGCATAGGACTTAACATACAATATATAGGGTCTAAACCCTATTAAAGTTTGTGTCCAGATGGAGTCCGCCTATCGTACTTCTCAAAATGATGTTGTTTCCACTTAACCCCCTTATGCCCAACGTACCATCCAGGTACGCCACGCGTAACGGCTAAAACTGCCAAAATCGAAAATATAAGGACTAGGAGAGCAATTTACTAGGACTCGAGTGTATCAAACAAACCAGAAAATGCTTAAGTATGGTGGATAGACGGAGACCAATCTTCAAATTAAACACTTAATGTCAGGGGTATCTTCGCATCAACCTTCATCACCAGCTTCACATAAGCCTACACAATCTTCATATCATAAAGAACTTATCTTTACATGTATGAAAACTTTTAAAAATGTATAAAAAACTTATCTTTACATTTATAAAAAATGTTTTAATGTTCTTTTTTGATTTAAATATTTATACATGTATTTAATAATACATATAAATATGTTTAAATGAAAAAATAATTATGAAAACATTTATTAAGGTGTAACATCCCTAAAAAATTTTCATTTTAAATTCATTCCAATCATACGATAATCATATCAAAAAGGTCGAGAGTATATCATAGTAACATATTATCAGAGTAAAAAAATCCCAAAAAATAACGTAAGGCGGAAAAAACATAGGTAGATGCAGTGCGATCAGGCCGGATCCTTTCCTTTCGAGCTAGAAATACCTAAAAACATAAACTGAAAACCATAAGCATAAAGCTCCGTGAGTTCCCCCAAAATATCCCATACCATACATATAAAACAGTCAGAAACATATTGGTTTTATTTCACCCCCTTCGGTATCTTTCAACCGATACTGGTCTATTTCACTCCCTTCGGTATCTTTCAACTAGTATTGGGTCTATTTCACCCCATTCAGTGTATTTCAACCAGTATTGATTCTATTTCACCCCTTTTAGTATATTTCAACCTGTATCAGGTCTATTTCGCCCCGACCACTAACATATATAATCATAACAATAAGAGTCATAGAGACATCAAGCAGATACAGGCATAACAGGTGACACCTTGAGGAGTACCATATCCTAGACCTGGAACTCCAAGTCTGACCGGTGTCTTTCTGCATAGCTCTTCTGCCGACTCTACACTGTCTGAAGTCTACCCCGAACCTGCTAAATCATCTCGGTCATCTTGAGTACTATCTCGGTACTCTCCATGACCCGCTGAATGACCTCACCCGAACATGCCAAGGTCCTACTCTTCCTCCTATAGAGCATCTCAAAAAGAGATTGATCGATGTTGGCATGATAACTGTTGTTATACAAAAATTCTGCTAACAGAAGATACGTATCCCAACTACCGTCGAAATCCAAAACGCATTCCTGCATCATATCCTCCATTGTCTGGATGGTCCGCTCGCTCTAACCACCTGTTTGCGGCTCAAACGCCGTGTTGAAGTGCAAGCAAGTACCCAACACCTCATGGAACCTCTTCTATAAGTTGGAAGTAAACCAAACATCCCTATCCAAGACCACATAAATCGACACCCTATGGCGTGCCACAATCTCCCGAATGTAGATGTTTGCTAACTTCTCCATGAATATACTCTCCTAGATCGGGATAAAATGCATGCTCATGGTTAATCGATCCACAATGACCCATATCGAATCCACTATGCGTACTGTCCAAGGAAATTTAGTGATAAAATCCATAGTAATTTCTTTCCATTTCCAAACAGGAATATCTAACCACTCCATTTTTCCATGGGGTCACTGATTCTCGACCTTGACTTTCTTGCAAGTCAAGCACCTCTCCACATACCATACTACATCCCACTTCATAAATGACCACCAATAATCAGGCTGGAGATCTCTATACATTTTTGTTGCTCCAGGATGAATAAATCTGTCGCGCACCACCCTAGTATAGAACCCACACCCTCCAATGAAGGGTCAATAACCACTGACTATCATAATCGAACGAAGCCACTTATCCCACGATGCACTCACTCTTCTGATGCTCTTCCTTCATAGTCTTAATTTGAGCCTCTCGAATCTGCTCTAATAATGGGGTAATCACTGTCATCCTCAAAGAAAAATCCCTGATCAGAGCCGTAGCCACCTTGCTGCTGAGAGCATCGTCCACCACGTTAGCCTTTACCGGGTGATAATTGATCTCACAATCATAATCCTTCACCACATCCAACCATCTGCGCTGCCTTATGTTTAGATTGGCTGATCCATCAAATACCTCCAGCTCTTGTGATCAGTGTAAATAGTACATTGGACCCCATAGAGGTAATGTCGTCAAATATTGAGGGAAATTACCACTACCCCAACTCCAAATCGTGCGTAGGATAATTCAACTCATGAGGCTTCAACTATCTCGAAGTGTAAACAATCACATGACACTACTGCATCAACACTGCACCTAAACCCGTGATCGAAGCATCACAATATACCATAAAGTCCTCAATAGCCTCTGTCAAGGTCAGAATCGGTTCCTCATACAATTTCTGTCTCAAGGTCTCTAAAGTTGTCTACTGCTCATGCCCCCAACGAAATGTGACAATCTTGTTTGTCAGCTTGGTCAAAAGAACTGCTATCTTAGAGAAATCCTATATAAATCTCCGTTAGTAACCTACCAATCCAAGAAAACTCTAAATCTCAAATGGAGACCTTAACCTCCCACCTCATCACTGCCTCAATCTGGTCCAGATCGACCAGAATACCATTCTGGTTGACAAGATGCCCCAGAAATCACACATCGTGCAACCAGAACTCACACTTGGAGAACTTTGTGTATAATCTCTACCTCCTCAGAGTCTCCAATACGTTCCTTAGGTGCTCCTCATGCTGCTCCTAGGTCTTGGAATAGAGCGGGATGTCATCAATAAACACAATCACAGACCAATCAAACATGGTCCTGCATATGTGATTCATGAGATCCATGAATGCGACGGGAGCATTGGTGAGCCCAAAAGGCATCACCATGAACTCATAATGACCATAATGAGTTTGGAAGGTCGTCTTCTATATGTCCTCCTCCCTGAACCTCATCTGATTATAACCTGAATGTAGATCAATCTTGGAGAACCAAGATGTTCCTTGAAGTTGATCAAATAAATCGCCGATCCTAGGGAGTGGGTAACGGTTCTTCACCGTTAGCTTATTCAGCTCCCGGTAGTCAATACGCATCCAATGCGTCCCATCATTTTTCTATCGGAGTCACACCTAGAATCAAGTCAATCCGAAACTCCACCTGCATATCTGGTGGCACTCCCGGTAAATCCTATAGAAACACATTTTGGTATTCCCGAACAATTGGTATATCATCAATAGTCACATCACCCTTCTCCCGGGTATCCTTCACATAGGCCACAAACCCAGAACATCCATGCTGAAGATAACTCATGGCTTGGCTGCTGAAAAGAGAGCCGACCCACGTTGAGCACCCTCACCATGGATAACAAAATCTCATCCACTTAGGGTCCTAACTGTAGGATAAGGTGTCTAAGTCCATAACTA